TATTTTTCTTTCTCTTTCTGCCTTATGTTATTTAATATAAGGCCTTCTAGGTTCATTCATTTTGTTACAAATGATACAATTTACTTATTTTTATTGTTGAGTAATAGTCCATTGAATATAAGCACTAGCTATATAAGGAGATTTTGGTCTACAACTGACCACATAAAATCGTTGTCCCTAGATATAGCCTAGGTTACATCATTTAGGTTTGTGTGAAAATGACTCTGTAACATTGACACAGTGATGAAATTGTCTAGTCATGTGTTTATAAGAATCCATCCAAATCATTAAGTGACTGGTAACCGAATATATAATATTTTTCTAGCCATTCATCTACTGAACACTTAGTTATTTCCATTATTGACTGTTATAAATAACGTTGTGGTGAACATGCTGGTGTTATAGCTCTTCAAGTTAGTGTTTTGTTTCCATCACGTAAAAACCCAGAAGTGAAATTAATTAAACTTGATGTTGTTTGCTATAGTGATTGTACCAAATTACATTCTCACCAGTACCTTTTTCTTCATATCCTTGCTAGCAATTGTTATCTCTTGTCTTTTTGGTAATAGTCATCTAACAGGTGTGAGGCAATAACTCATTGTGGTTTTGATTTATATTTCCTTAATGACTAGTAACAAGTACCTTTCCATATATCTGAAGAAAATGTCTACTAGAAAAATGTCTATTCAGATCCACTGCCCAATTGAATCATATTGTTTGTTTGTTTTCCTGTTGATTTGTGAGGCCTTTATCCTCACAAGTGATTCCTTATCATTTATATGATTTGCCTTTTCACCTTGTGATGGTTATCTTTGTTATACAAGTCCTAATGTTCTATATCCTCATGATTCAGATTTGGTAGACTGTATATTTGTAGGAGTTGACCCAACTCTAGGTTGTCCAGTTTGTTGGCATATAATTGTTCATAGTGGCCCTTATGATTCTTTGTATTTTTCTGATATCAGTTGTAGCATCCCTTTCATTTCTAATATTTATTTGATTTCTGTATTTCTTACTACATCTATTATCTTTTTAAGAAGCTGTTTTACTGACTTTTTCCATTTTTTGTCTTTTATTTTTTTCATTTTTCTGTCCTTTTAAAAAATGATCAATTAATTGATTGATTGATTGAATGAGTAATTGATGTACACAAGAGCTGGGGTGTAGGCCAGAGGGACAGGTGTTGAAAGGATTCATCAGAGAGTAGAGAATAGAACAGGCAAATCAAATGAAATATGCTGCTGAGAGGAGCAGCAGGTGAGACTGGAGAGGACTGCTGCACCACGTGGATTAGCTCCTTGGCTGGCAATCAAACTTGCTTTGCAGTGGCTACTAATAGCTTCATAGTGCTGAGACTTGACCCCTTGTACCCTCAGGGAGGCCCTTGTTCCTTTCCTCTTTCTGTTGACATTAGACTTAACTTTTTCTCTCACTATATTCTTAAAGTTTTACATTACATCTCTTATTTGATACCTCTTATGCAATGTAGATATTTATTACTGTAATTTTCCTTTTAAGTACTGCTTTTGCTGCTTTCCTTAAGTTTTGAAATGTGTTTCCATTTTCTTTGATTTCAATTTTTTTTTTAACTTTTTCTTTTCCTTTGATCCTTTGGTTTTTTGAAGGGCATATTGTTTAATATCTACATATTTAAATTTTTCCAGTTTTCCTTTTGTTGTTGACTTTTAGTTTTGTATCATGTTGTGAGATATCAATCATATTAAATTTATTAATATTTGTGGTGAACACATGTATTCTGGAGAATATTACATAAATACTTGAAAAGATGTTAGATGGAATATTCTATATAGGTCTGTTATGTTCATCTAGTCTATGGATAATCTTATCCATTGTTGAAAGAACTATTTTCATTTCAGATATGTTAATATTTGCTTACTATATTTAGGTGTTCCAGTGTTGAGTGCACATATATTTATGATTCTTATATCTTCTTGATTAATTGACTTATTCTATCATTGTACTTCTATGTCCCTGGTTACTGTTAATGGCTTAAAGTCTTTTGTCTGATATTAGTATAATACTGCTCTTTTATTTTCCATTTGCACAGAATATCTTTTTCCATGTCTTTGTGCCAAGGCTTTGTACTCCTAAATTTGAAGTGAGATTTATGTAGACAGTATATAAATGGATGTGATTTTTTTTAATCCACTCAGCCACTGTATTTGTTTTTTGGTTGGATAACTCAATCCATTTACATTTAGTGTAGTTTTCCTCCTCACAATTATGGAAATATTTACTATAGGAATAGTCACAGAAAAATAATTTGGGAGATGATTTATAATTTTCTCTAAATTCACAAGAATTCATGGATTGTCTCCAGAGACACAACTATCTCTTTGTAAAATTACTCTTTTGGTAACTGTGTTCTTAAAGATTTATGGCATTTTTCTATTGAGGTAAATAAAAAATCTTAAACCATTTTTTATAGTTTTATATTTTTCTTTTCTAAAAATATGCTTCTTTGACATTAACCCTTTGACTTTTTAAATACAGTTCAAAATTTGGACAGATTTCTGGAAGCATCTTCCCTTCTTTGTCATCACGTTGTTGTCTTGCTCCAAATTGGAGCTCAACTAGGTTTACCAGCTTCCAAGCCATGTCAGATTCTTGCAGTTCTCCAGCATCACATCTGTGTGCACTCTTCTTGGGTGAACGATGTAGTTGCAATCTCAAACGTCACCAAGTTCTGTAATCAGCTTGTGAGGGAGCTGTTAACGAAACTTCCTCCTCTGAAGATTCTTTATAAAAGGATGGGTACATGGAATACTGATTGTAAGTGGGGTTCAGAACAATGGCTATCATTCTCTGATTCTATCAGTAAATTTCTTGAACAACAGGACTGTGGAAGAACCAGGGCACTCCTCTGCTAGTGTACTCAGAACAGGACTCTGGCCTGAGAAATCATTGCATCAATGAGTATATGTGGGTCTTGGAATAAAACCAAACTTGAGCTCAAGAGATGATGTTCTATCCCTCATAGTTGTTTTGATTCATATATACTGAGAAGTCCGGAGTCACCACAGGTGCCCAACCCACATCTCTTCCCCTGGCACTGCTTCAAACTTATGGTAATTATGGACTTGCTATTGCCACTTTACTTTTTGTTTTCTGGTTCTTATAGTATCTTCCTTCTTTTGGCAAATGTTTTACACCATAGCTGCTTAACTGTATGTTGTTCTTTCAGGAGTCCTCCTTGCCTTCCTGTACTGTCCCTGTACTTTGATCAGAAAAGACCTCATTTTCTGTACAATTTCTTATACTTATCCATGGGTTCCTTTGAAATGAAGAACAATCTTTCTCTTCAGATGTTAAATGAGAGGAGAAAACAGTATGATAAAGTTTACATTGGGAAGAAAAAGCCAAAAAACTTTAGTTCAAGTTCTTTGCTTGTTGCTCTTCAGTTACTATCTCACTGAATTGGGAGAACATTATTGTTCCATAGTTTATCTAATAAGCATATTTCCATCTGAGTCGATTGCATCTTTGTGTTTTTTTGTTTGTTTTTAAATTTATTTGTTCATACAGAACTGGGGTACAGGCCAGAGATGCGGAGGGTGAGAGGATTCACCAGAGACAGAGGGGGGAGCAGAACAGGCAGATCCAGGAAGTACACTGCTGAGGGGAGCAGCGGGCGGGTCAGGAGAGGTCTGCCACGCCATGTGGTCACCTCTGGGACAGGCGGGAATCGAACTCATGGGGAAGCGGCTTTAGATTCTTAGTGCTGTGCTTTAACCTGTTGCGCCACCAGGGAGGGCCCAGTTGCATCTTTGTTTTGCTAAAGAATTAGTTTTCAATAGACACATACTGGTATTTCACAAAACTTTTCTTTTTCAATATATATTAATGGAATTTACAACTAAGGTAGATGTCCTCAAGATTTGCACTCTTAATAGCTTGTATTTCTTTAGTAGTGATAAAATTGTTTTAAAATCAATTTCAGCTAAATGTATTTATACCTGTATAACTGAAGTGAAAAAAATGATGTGATAGTAGAACATATAATGAAGAGAAATGATTGGTTCAGATATCAAAATTAAATAAATTATAATAGCAAGCCATTACACACATATTAATGAGTGTGCACTTTTCACTAGTCCCTCCTTTAGAATAAGAATTTTAAAAAGGTAGCAAATAACCACTTTGTTGCCTATTTTTATTCCTGTCTCTGATTTGAGCAGGAGGAAGTCATGGTAAGAAAAGGTTTATAGCAAATAAGAGTCCGTAGGACTCCCTTTCCCTGACTATAAAAGAAGTTATAGCTGCAGAGTTCCTAACATACTGTTTTACCTGCTCCAATTTTTTTTTTTTGGTCTTTTTTATGAAATCACTGAGATTATCTAACTCAGAAAAAGTTTTTATAGCTATGCCTAGGGATAGATCTAACATCTCTAAAGAGAAATACAGAGAAACTGCACAGTATTTGAATTCTTGTTTTTGACATCAGATCCACACATTACATATGGAAGGAAGGATGGAAACTTCCGCCCATCTGACAGATGTCCCTTAGGAAGTTGAAAACCTCTATTTAAAAGGAAGAGGATATCATAGTTCCAGAGCTTAAAGTGAAATACTATCTTCATTTTTCTGTGAATTAGAAAATGGTAACAAAGATTTAAATGTAGGTTGAGTTAGCAGGATTCAGCTATCTGTGGTCAAACAGCAGTGGAATTGTAGATCTTCATCAGTCATAAACTTACAAATTGATGATGAAAGGTTTCAGGTAGGTATAAGTTATTTTAGCATGTGTTGAGGTATAGTACCAGACTCAAGCCTGTAATTAAAGAACAAGACACAACATGGTGTATGTTATGCCAGAATGTCTGAATCTAGGTATACAGACATTCAGATTGGTATAAGGCAGATGCTATGGAAGTTACAAAAACAACTGTGCATTGCATAAAGCCTGATGTGTCTCTCTACATTGCTGAAATAATAGCTGAAATTATATTATTTTCTGTGCTGTTTTTCTGTTTTGGCAGGCCTGGCAGCTGCGATTTAGCCACCTTGTGGGTTATGGTGCCAAATATTACTCTTACTTGATGTCCAGGGCAGTAGCGTCCATGGTGTGGAAAGAATGCTTTCTTCAGGATCCTTTTAACAGGTAATAGGGTGGGGAGATTTGTAAAACGCCCCATTGTACATCAGTAGTTGCCCACTTCACTACATGGGAAGTCAGGTCCCGAGAACCTCAGTCACTCAGAACACAGCCTAAAGCTGACAGGAAACCAAAGAGGCATTCTTGTCTTACAATCTAGATCACTCTCAGGTCTTACTCACATGAGCCTCCCTTCTGCTTTCAGAGGCAAGATATGCCATGAGTGTCAGCCTCACGTTATAACAATTGTAACATTAGCACTCATACATGCTGGTGATTGTGTAGTACCTTTGTGTGAGTGCTTATGCTTCTGCATGAAATGGGCCCAAGCTGCTTTGTTCCCATGCTTCTCCTTTGTCAGTATCTGCTACTCTCAGAGCTTCTTGCTGCCTCTGGCAGCTTCCTTATTTTCACCACAGGCAACTGAGGAGAATGCTTATTTTATCCCTCTTGCACAACCAAGCACTTGTTACAGTTCATCACTGGGAGCAGCACCATTGGGAATTGTTTTAGTATTAACATCCAGTTTGTTCCAGAATGTTCTTACTCTGCCTGCCTTTGGAACATTTTTTTCCCCAGTGGAAGATGCTGACAGAGAACCTCTGAGGTTTTGAGAACCTCGGTCATGCAGAACACAGCCCAAAGCTGACAGGAAACTAAAGATCCATGAGGCGTTCTTACAGTCCAGATCACTCTTAAGCCCTTCTCACGTGAGCCTCCGTTCTGCTTTCAGAGAAGTGGGTGCTGCTCACTCACCATTCTTCCACAGCTCTCCTTCACAGTGGCCACTCACTGCCACTAACTGTGTCAGGAACTGCAGAACTCTACGACCTACTGCCCTGCTTCTTAGGCGCCCTCTGAAGTAACCTTGCCCAGTATTTCAGTCATCGAGGTAGTCAGTGATTCAAGAAACACAAATTGTAGGTGTCTCTGTAGCAGGCTATACAAAAATGCGTGTGTAGTAACTCCCTGACCCTCTCCAGAGCATGCTTTATCAGCTTAGTTGGTGAATGTGGTGAGTTTTTCATGATTCTATGAGGGAAATCCTGGCAGTAAATTTATTAGGGACACATGATGTCTAAGGCAGACCTTAGTGGTGGGAGACTGGGAAAGAGGGAATGGAGCCAGGGGTAGGCAGCTGTCTTTGGCAGGATCTTAGCAAAATTCCTGTCGTACCCTTATGGCACATCCTTCTGATGCTCCTCACAGCCTCCCTCTACAGCAGCCTCCCAGGAAAGTCAAGTTCGGTTCTGTGATTCTTTAGAAGGAGCTCTATTTGAAAGCAAACCATTAATTAATTACAACCTATCTGATAGTCATTAAACTATTTTATCTTTTCACTGAAGAAATACATCTCTAGAGACCTCTCAGGCAGTCATGGCTGTTGACTTTTGTCTTCACTTCCTTTACATGTTGTTAAATTAATGGCTTCTTAGGTGCTCTGAATGCTGTAGAGTTTCCATAGAGCACATTCACAGCAGCCTTGGCAGGAAAAGCACTTTTTATAAGAAGAAACTGAGGCTCAGAAGAGGATACCTGCTTTGTTGAAGGCTTCACAAGTCACCAACTGGACCAAGATTATAACTTAGGTCTGCTAATTCCTAGTTTCTTCTCCCTGTCTTCTCCACGTCCCCTCACCCTTTCATACAATTTAATATACATTTGGATTTTCTCAACAGTTAATAATCACTTTCAGTCCAAATCTTTTGAACCTGAATGTGATGTAATAGAATTTTTCAGTGTTTTACAACCTGGTGCCCACATGCTATTTATTTTAAATCTGCCCTTTGCTCACTACAGACATTTGGTCTGCATTTCAGATTTTATTATCTTTAACAAATCTGAAGCTAAAATTGACTACAGTAAATCAATTTGGGGGATTACAATTCTTTACTGGAGATTTCTATAAAAGAGGTAAAATATCATCTTGCTTAAAGAACTTCACTTTACTAGGCAACCACATACTATTAAGTACACATATTTCCAGGTATTTTTATCTTGTTTATGTGTGCATTCTTGCCTTGACATGCAGTTGCCATACTTTTATAGACATGTAAAAGTAAGCTAGTAAAAATACTCACTAGACTAGAAAATTTCTAACCTTTGTTAAAAGATTTTTTTTGATCCCACTTGTGAAAAAATCACTAGGTTGGAAGCCTACATCATGAAGCCAGGCAGTGTAGACTTGAGTCAAGCTAAGTTCTAGAGCCTTTGAAGAGGAGGGGAGCTACTGTGGTGGGGAGGGGATGCAGAGTCCCAGGTCAGAGGTAAGATAGGACCTCTCAGCTACCCTGTCCCCCAGGAAGGCCCAGTCTCTGTCCATGTGTCCTGCTTCATAGCATACTCTGTCTTGGTGCTCAATTCAGGATGGAACCAGTATTTGATATTTTTGATACTGTAAAGTGATCAAAAAATGTAATTGGAGCCTATGTTCCCCAAATTGTCCATACATAAAGATGTTCCAGAAATAGTGGGATGAAAACACCGTAATTTCTTGTCATCATAGCACATAGCCTTATGCATTAAAAGAATTGTATTTTCCATGAAATACAAAGGAGTAGCACTAAATAGTTTGTCTTCAGGTACCTTTACTTTGGAGACTTTCTATATAAAAGTTCCTCAAAATTTGCCCTCATGTATTACATAGAGTGTATCTTTTAGAATCTAGCTGACAAAGACTATCAGAGGATGGAAACAAGATGTCCCCCTTTTGCCTATACCAGTAACTCCCTCAATTCATTTCACTAGTTCCTTTTTATTTGAGTGATCCCTGGCCAACATCTCTTGGTATAATTGACCTTCTGCTGACTTTTTTTCCTTCACTCTTATTTCAGAGTATTATTTCTCACTCTGTTAAGTGTCTTCTCAAATTCTTTTATGAAAGTAAGGAGCAACATAAATAATTTTAAGTGCCATTTTAAAACACAGTTGACCCTTGAACAACATGAGGGCTGGGGCACCTCTGTGCAGTCCAGATCTGATTTGAAAATATTACTAATAGGCTGCTATTGATTGAAAACCTTACTAACCACATAAACATTTGATTGATTTGACGTTTGTACATTGTGTGTAGTATATAATATATTCCCATAATTAACTAAACTAAGGAAAAGAAAATGTACTTACAGTACTGTTATCTATGTATGGATAAGTATATATCATCTGTACATGAAAAAATCTAGCAAGTAATTCAAACCTGTGTCATTTAAGGATTAACTCTAATCCTTAACTATCTTTCACTTATTCTATAACACATAAACCAGATAGTCCTTTCTATGAAGTGATTGCTTGCTATGAGACAGAAAGCTAAAAATAGCTATCCTTTTATAGTATGTGTATATATATATATATATGTATATATATATATATATGTATATATATATATATATTTAAAGTTTTAAATTAAACCCAACCATATCTACCTAATAAAAGGAAAAATATTTTTTTTTTAAAAAAGAGTTTTCTGCTTCTCAATTCTATGTATGACTCTAGGAACTCCCAGCTCACAAATTAGCCTGCAGGATTCAAACTCACACTTCAAAACTGTTGGTTTTCTCATCTGCCATACTCTCAGTCAATACTTACCATTTTTTAAAAGATTTATTTATTTATGCATACAGAACTGGGGTACAGGCCAG